AACGTAGTGTGATCAAATCCTAGCTTGAACGAAGGCTATTTTTCTCTTATATAAAAGGCATTGCTTTAATTTAATAAAAACAACATTTACGAAATATTTTCTATTGAAGTTTGCTTTCTATAATTCCTAGAATAAGAAATCCAATAATCTGATAAAAATACATGATCGAAACGAAACAAAATCTAGGTCGAGATAAGATTCGATCTCTCTGCCATTTTTAAAATTAGCAAGCAGCGAAAGTACGGATAGACCAATAAATCACTGTTTCAGGTACTTATGGTACTGAAAGGTGCCCAAAGATACTATTCTAAGAAAAGTGCTTTTCCTCCCTTGGACAAAGTTGTGTATAGACATTGTTGCAGAGGCAGCTGAATGGTTTTGAAACTGTGTGTGCTCAAGGACAAGAGCAAAAAAGAAAGAATAAGAAAAGAAAGAGTAAGTTTCTGCTGAAAGAAAATGAAAACTAACAAAAACCGTGCGTGCTATAGTATCCACAGTCCCTGCTTTTGTCACCCGTTATCACCGCAACAAAGCATAACACTGTGTAATCTCACAGTAATGCACTATTAAAGATAATACACCAGACATGAATTCTTATTTCTTGTATGCTGCATCGAAAATTAAAACATTCATAACTCAGTCAAAACTGCTTCAAAATATCAAGATATATTCCATCTGCTTCCCCGCATTCTGTAGTAGAAATCAGTACAAAACATTCTCTTATTCCCAAGGCTTTCAAAAAAATCTTCCGAAAACCGAAGGACTTTCTGCTGGTTTTTAGAACTGTTATTGAACTTCATAGTGTAGCACAGATGAAATGGAATATATGTTGATATTCTGAAGCAGTTTGGAACAATTTTGACTGAGTTATGAATTTTTTAATTTTCGATGCAAACAGTGACAAATGGATTATTTCACCTAGTATAGATTTGTACTAGTTTTTTGAAGCGTTTCCAAAACACAAACATTGCCACGAGATTCAATGTGGTGGATAATCTACGTTTCATGTGTTTTCGAAGCTACCAAAGTTGAAAATCTGACATGAATTTTTTAACCTCTTTAGAACTGAAGAGTATATCATTGTTTATGAAAGGAGTCAAAATATCACAAACTTTTAAAATAAGAATAATAACAACATATCAATAACTTTTAAATTAAATATCACAAACTAGAGAAAATGAAGTAACTTTCTATGACGTATTCGAATGATGAAGGTATCTTGTTTGTATTGGGATGCTCACGTGAACGCAATCTTTTTGGTTTCCAGAAAGATTCTATAGGTATCGTCAACGATCCTGTACTTCTCTTAATGCTCTCTATTTGTAATCAACATTGCATGATTTATTATTTAGAAAACTGTTATTTGTTGAGAAAACTGTTTCTATTTTGAAAGTTCCTAATTTTTGCTGTTCACATATTGGATTAAAAATGAGTCTATGGACATCATTGGTTAGAAGCCTGACACACAATAGTATATATTAAATGAAGGTGTATAACATTGCAGGAAATCTCGCAAACAGATTGGAAACGCGTTACCTGGCTCATTATGATTGTCTCCTTCATTTAGATGATGTTTTATTCTTTTTATTTTGCAAAGTTTTTTGTATCCTTAGAGGAATGTGGTAATACCTCAAGACAAGTAGACTTTCGTATTCGCCAACATCAGTTACTATATGCCTCGGAGAATCGAGATGACGGACGACAAATGGACTGTGACCAGATCAACTCAGCATCTAGTGTGAATGACGATCATTCTGACTTGATTGAGACGGTTTCCAACGACGAATCTCTTGACAGCCAACAGAATAATATAGTTATCTGTCCAGACGACGATGATCTATTTTCTGATTCAGATGATAAATTAGATGAGAACATGCCATTGTATCCAAATGCGTTATTACTCTTGCCGAAGCATATGTGATTATTAGAGACTATATTTCAGAAACTTAATTGACATTGGTGCAGCAAAAACGGCTAATTTCGTTACTCATATCATTATTACCGATTGACAGCTCATTAAATCGTAATCGTCTATTAAAATGGCTCAATGTAAAACATTCATTTACTTATTTCACTTTATGTGATCATTGTACTCAACAATTAGACACCAAAACAGGTGTACGTTCATCAAATTGTCCTTTAAACGGTAATTTGAGAACCAATGACGGAATTATCGAAAGTTGTATTGCTGATGTTAAAAATTCTGTATCAAAAGTGGTTGAAAGAAATCTGGACTTAATTTTGAATTATCCAAGGGAAGCAAAACATTTCGTCCCAAATAATATCGTAAACGGTGCCGTTTATCAAAGAAACGCCTTAACGGAACCAAAAATTACAATACAGCTTCATTCAGATGGAACTGATATTATGACGACTAAACACAAGAGTTGTTATGCTACAACAGGAAGCGTCCTCGAGATACCTCCACCTCGACGTGACCATGTCAAAAATAAAATTTTGTTATCATTGTATTTTGGGAAAAAAGAGCCAACATCTGAACTACTACTTGATGGACTTATCAACAAATTGAGTGAATTACGTACCGCAGGATTAGCTATTACCCACAGAAATCGAAATGTAACGTTTAAAGTGAATTTTCCAGGCGACAAAAATGAATTACCATGCCGAGCTATGAACTGGAAGATTTCTCAGTTTAATAGGTTCGACTGTTGTACTACTAATTGTCTTCAGCATGGCGAAACAAGAAACTCAAATAAGGTTTATTATCCTTACACGCACACTACAAATCCCCGTACACATCAAATGTTTGTCAATGCAGCGCAGGTAGCCGATTTGAGACGTACAACGACACATATCGCTGTAGTTCAAGGTGTATATGAATCCCTTTATTGAAGCTCTTTGACAATGTTACCGAACACGCTCTCTTTATTATATGCATGCATGCTGCGGCTCATCCGGTCACTTCGCTCATGTATTAAGAAAGTGGATGAGCTGTGCCTCGTCTAATGTAGCGACAGCAATGTCTGATTATATCCTTAACGTAATGATGCCGCATGACACCAAAGTTAGTCTTCGACCACTCAATAACTTCGACTGGTGGAAAAGCAAAGAGTATCGATTTTCCTTATTGTATGTATCCATGCCATTTGCCATAACATTCATACCGGCAGTTATTACCAGTCACTTCGTTTTATTTCTTCGTCGCATTTCCTATATTACATTTTTATGAACAAAAAAGTGATATTGATGTTGCTGATACCCTTCTTGAGCACTATCGAAAAGAGCTCGCTGTACTGTATGGTCCGGAATGGGATTCATACTCTAACCACCTACTCAAATATTTTCCGTCACAAGTAAAAGGCCAAGGAGCATTATTTGCTCATAGTTGTTTCGGAGAAGAAAGTTTCCTTGGTTATATAAAAGGTTTAAGAAAAAGTAATGTTCAAATTGCAAAAAATATTTTTATGATGTACGCTTTACAAAACAGTATGCACGAGAAACCCAAAACGTTGTCACTAGAGAATATATTTCGGATGAAGAATTGTACGATCAAAATTTTATCGAAAAAAAAACTTGTACTGAATTTCTTACAGTTTTTTATAATATTTTTAAACGAACGTTGGATAGGAACGATATATTTTGTCGGTTTCGCCGAGGTCTGAACGTTTTTCGCTCTCTGATCTACTAGCGTGTTTGAAGCAAAATAAGTCATTGTGTTTCTATCGATACAGCATATTGCCCAAATAACTCAAAAAAATGTTTTGCTACTGCACAGTGGGCAACCAAGTGGACATTAGGTGAAAAAACGAAAGTGAGAAATTATTATCTTTAAAATAAAATACAACAGTATACTGTTGTATTTTATTTTAAAGATAATAATTTCTCATATGCTTTTTTAAAGTTGTACGTTTGTTCTGGGATGAATTTTAGAACAACCAGAAATGATCTATTAACTGCCACCATCAATTATTTCCTTGATAAGTTTCATGAATTAGTTGATCTATCTGTTTTTTCCTATGCCGTTGTTGAAGTTTCTCAAATACGGCATAAGTGTATTGTCATACCTTTTCGAGGAAGAAATTTGTTTACAGAAATGTGCTGCACATTTGAACATGACTAAACAGAAATAGTAAAAAATCTTTTTTAAGTTTTATATTCTGCACTGGAAACTATTAGGACGATGACAGTCTAGGTAGTGGAGACAACTAAAGTTTAGAAAACGTTAGCAGGAGAAAGACCGTTAAGCTCGATTTATGTTTGTAATAAACTAGACGAATGAACTTTAGCCTCTAATAACCATTCGATGGGAAAGCAAAACTGTTTTTTCGTTGTTAGACGGGAAATATTAATACTAATAGTTGCATTAATTTCTATGTTCCCGTTTAGATATGAGTTCTATTTCAATAACAGCGCCTCGTGGCACATCTCGAACGAATGAGCAATATGCTTTACCACAAATGCCAGATGGTCAACATAAAATCGTGCCCTTAAATGAATGTTTGTTAGCTGAAGATCATGAGCATGTATCATACAAATCAAAAAAAGATTTATTGTTAGTGTCAAAGGGTAAATAACATTAATTCTAAGTCGAATTTGCTTAACGATAAGAACACTACTAATGCAAAAAAGAAAACATTGGTTGGATGAAAGAGTTCGTCTATTAGTTTTCTATGCAAATGTTTATGTTGTTAATTCTGTTAATAGGTCTTAAGAAACAGTATAAAGCAGTCTTAAAATCCATAACGAATGACACTACCGACTATGAATATCAAAATGAAAGCTGTTAAAACAAATGTTGGTGGTATGGAGAAAAAAAGAACACTTGATTTAGATGATCTGGAGAACGATGAACCCTTGGATACACGAGTGAAATGTAGTATACTTCCTTTACATTCTTCGAATTCAACGGATATATTTCATTCATTCCAGTGAGGAAAAGCGAAAGAAAGAAAAAAGGTGATCAATCATTTCCTGGACAAAAAAAAGTTGATAAATCGTCAGATGCTATGACTGCACTTTTTAGTACACGTAAGTTAACTGTATCTCTAATACACAGTGCAAAAGAAATTTCGCGTCTATCTTGAGAACAATACAGGCAGCAAATGTTTGTAACTCAATTAGTACTATGTATTTACTTGTTATTGAGAATGTTCATATTTAGATACCTCAAAGCCGGTTGTTATTTCGTCGAAACAGCCAACGAACATTCCAGTTTTATATTCATCACCTCCATCACTATCAGTCTCTGTTGCGCAACCAGCATCATCATCAACGAATCTTTCAATTTTAAACTCATCATCTTCGCCTTTACCATCTAGTCTCGCACAGGCAACAAAATGTTCTACACAGCAAACGACATCTGTTTATTACCTTGATGTACAACAAAATAGTCTGTTGAACCCAAATCCGTTAACATCATCAACAAAACAAAAGGCCGTAGTCAACGTTCTACTGACGATGAAGTATTACTACTATGAAGAGTACTACAACCACAGTTACAATAACTTTAGATACAGAAGAAGAGACAGATGAGCAGTGAAATGTTCCGATGAGTAGTGGCACACAAATAAAACCAAACAGGAAAAGAAGAAAGAGAAATTAGTCTTCCTGGAAATTCAATCTTATAAAATAAAAAGAATTGACCTACAGGAAATACTGTTCTTACCTTGTTTTTGATGACTCAATGATGGTTCTTCAAGAAAAAGATCATCAAAACTATCTACAATTTAAAAGAAGAAAGCCGTTATATGGGGGAATCAAAGAAAAATTACAAAGCTCACCTCGACGATTATTATCGTTAATAGATGTATCGATAACAAGTTGCGTTCGTGGTAATAAAGATTCTAAAGACAAAAAAAGAAATATTGAGGAATTTTCTAATCGGAGAAAATATTAGCAGAATCATAACCAGAAGGATGTAAACATTGTGATGATGATGATTCTGATGTACTTGATGGAGAATCTTGATCACTTTCTAGAACAAAAAAAAATGAGATTGAAGATGGGCAAAGAAGATGGGATGAAAAATATAGTCACCTTCATTCTTTTCTTCATCACCTTGTTGTGCTAATTTCATTTCTTTTCTCAATCGTTCTTCACAACATTGATATGTACCTAAAGTTGACCAAAAAAATACAGTTTTGGCCAACAGCAAAGATGAGAATAACTAACTCTTACCAGTTGTTACTTGCATTGCTAATTTTTGTTCATTTTTTATTCTTAATTTTTCCATCGCTTCCGGTTTGTTTTACACTTGATCTTTTAACTATTTGATAAGCATCATTTTCTTCAAACTGTATTAAAAGGTAATCATCAATTTTTTCTTCAGCTTGAGTTGGTGTAAATTTTTGTGGTGGCTTTGTTTCGCGTCTTGATCGTGTACGACCGTCATTCATTTTATTAATAAAAAAATGATAGTATCTGAAAGAGACAACAAAATGAACATCAATAATGAAACAAGGGGAGAAAAAAGTAAAATCCTTTACTTTTCATGGAAAACATTTTTTTTAACCAAATTCGACCTCCCAAAGAGGCATCGTTCGTGCATTGTATAATCCGTTTTATGGCCTCTTATCTTTTCTTCTAGATGATCAAGCGCGACTGACATTTCTCTCTCTCTGATGACGTGATCCCAACTTTTTTTCTAGTTTCTTGCAGTAAGAAGAACGATTCTTTTTTTCTTCTACTAGCTACTTTTATCTACAAAAACAAGACGGATTCAATCTCTGATGTACTGCTCTGTACCCAGGACAATGAAAACGAGAACAAAAAATGGCTCATTAATCAGTCATTAATTGCCAATTAATTGGTCATTTTTACATCATTTTTATTCCATAAACGGTATGATTATTCGGTTGTAACTTAGACCGGCTTTTTACTAGGTAAAAATGATCATTTTATGATCATTCAATATGATCATTTTTGTGTCATCTCTCAGATATTAATGAGCCATTTTTAGATCTATTAGATAGTCGATAAACGCTCGTTGTCGACGGTCGTAAATGCATCATGTTTACCTCATTTGTGAGACATATATTAGCCTTTTTCATCTCGTCCGAATGGCAGAATTACGACCGTAAAATGATCCGGTTGGCTGAATCAATTGTAGGAGTCGTTTTATGATCGTAATTACAGCATTCGGACGACGTAAAAATGATCAAGTGTGAACACTTAATGACGTAAAAACGAGGTATTTATGATGATTAAAAAGCAGTGCTTTTACCGTCAAACATATTTCCGTATATCGAATTTTACCGCACTTTTGACATACTGCATGAGTTTTATTGATCTGATTTTACTTTTCATGCACGTTTAATTTTTACGCTAGTGCATAACCTTCTCTCTTATAATACCAGGCTTGGTCTTAAGTGACTGAGTCGACAACAACAACAACTAGTTTGGCGAAATCTACTTAGGAAAATACTAAACAATAAAGGGATCTGTAGTGTGGATGAAAACTACGCCATAATAATATGAATGTACTTTACTATCACATCCTATTCATAAAAGAAGTCTCCTTTAGATGCAAGAAAGATCCCCAAGAAAAAAAGATGTTCTTATCTTTAAGTGCTACAGCGTTTTTCTTGTAGAATCTGCCCAATTTTCTCGAAGAAATCAGGTTGTCTCCACACACTTGAACTGGAAAAACAGAATGCGCGCATACACTGTGCGAAAAAATCTCAGTGAAAACACTAAGAGAAGGTAGATAAATATGCAGAGGTATTTCGCGCTAAATTTACGTTTGTTGTTTGCACTCAAGTACATTTCCATCACAATTGGTGGGAAAACTATGATTCAGGCTTTTTTCAATTATTATGCAAAAAGTGTTCCACGTTCTCGCATTAATTTTGAGAAAAAGAATAGATCTGCTTAATTTCAGACATGTCAGCCATTTGGGGTTTCTGTTGGTTAGCGCAGAGAACCAGTTAAATCTTATACCGCTCGTATGACACTTTTCAGTGTTGAAATAGTCAATTGACCACTACAAATTATTTCGTTTAAAGTTAAATAAATCAGACAGAATAAACAAAGAGCAAAAAATCCAGTATCCGTGTTTAGGCGCGAAAACACTCTGGCAGCGGCGCCAGAATAATGGCGCCTAAAAACAAATACAATAAGCTTTTTGTCTAAATTTTATGCTGAGTTAATATAAAATTAATTCAAAAATGATATAAAAATCGCATAGAAATCGAATAAATACTTCCATATAAATGACGTTAAGCTATAATGTCATAAAAATGACCTTGGAATCAGCTTTGCTGAATGACCATTTTTTGCGTATTTGATCATTAACGGGCAATTTTTATATCATTTTTAATAATGATCATAAAATGAACAAGAAATTAGATCTTACCCAGATCGTTTTTCTACCATTAAATGATCATTCATGTTTTAATGAATGTAAAACTAGTGAAAGATAAGACGCTAGCGTTACTCATTTTGTCTCGCTCCGTAGTCAAACGTTAGCCATATAGGAAGAAAAGAAAAGACGTTTACATCTTACGGAATGTGTGAATAATAGTGGTTCGTTACAAACACCATCTCATTTCTACTTTATCGGGAATTGTATAAGGATTGAGTATCACGTAAAAGCGAATCAGTCGAGATACACATAGAAAAAGTAAAAGAGTAAAGACAAAAAAATACTATACGTAAAAATATTTAATCATGTTCATCATGTGACGAAATAGGTGTAACAAAAAAAGAATTACGTTTTTTAAAAACAATACAATGTTTTAATATAGATTCTGTTGGTACATACAGTGAAATAAAAATCAGGCTGATTTTTTTCACTTGGTAACCTTAGACACCGTACATTAGAAATAGAGGCGTTAAAAGACTATATTTCTAATGTACGGTGTCTGAGGAGGGAAATTAAGAGAGAAAGAGAGAGAGTAGAGTGAAAAGTGTTCTTTTTCCTTCGTAGTCTTTTAACGCCTCAGAAGGGAAAAGAACACTTTCCACTCTACTCTCTCTCTCTCTCTTAATTTCCCTCCTCAGACTTTTTTCATCCATTCAGTGAGATAATTACCTTGGTTTTTCATATAATTTGATTCATTAACGATTGATTTTAACCACATATGTATATGTGGCTCTGTATATCCAACCCAAATTGACATCAAAACCATATTATAACGACGATAGCGATGTTTGGATGGTACTTCAATAATGGATCCACTGAATAACCACATTTTCGATCGTGTTGATTTTGTTAAACCCACACCATCTAAATGCAGTAATAAGCTAATAATATTTTGTGTACTATTTTGTTTTAGTAATTGTTGGTATAATTTTTCGAAAACAACATCATTTGTTTGTTGTTCATCATTGCAGACATTTATTTTTTGTTTATTTTCTTCTATTTCAGACGATAACCGTTGTATTGTTGTAGTTAATACTTTTTCAACATTAACATCATATACATTAGCTATTGTTTTTTCATCCACTGAGCGACATTTTGAACATTTTTTGTCTTTATAATGTAAATCTCGCTGGCATAGTAAACAAATACGACGAGTTTTAAATAAATTATCAACGTTCATAGCGGCTAATAATCCTTCTCAAGTCGATGGTAAGTTATTGGGTACAGGCAAGGTTGATTTAAATAATGATAATAGACGTGTTGATTGTGTTTTATTAATATCAGCAGACCGGAGAATAGATGCTAACTCCTGACAATATTTTTCTGTCGAAATACTGGTATAATAATGAAGATAAGTTTCATTTTGAATATCATTGTTCTCAATAATTGATGGAGATAATGATAGCTGTGCCGGTTGAAGTCATTAATATTGAAATCATTATTATCTGATTCATAATCATTTATTTATCCATCGTAATCATCAAGAATCAGTTGATCAACATCACTATTGGATGGATCATTTTCGTAATAAATTAAATCAGCTTCTTCGTCAGAACTATTATTGTTTCCTTCACGTGTTGGTGCTGTTTGAACTATAGATAATGAATATGTAGATGCTTCTTGATTTGTTTGCGTTTTTGATATGTGTTGAAATTCCCGAAGAAGCTAGTCGGTATCTTGATTTCGTTCGTTTCGTCGTGATTCATTCCAGCTGTCTAATCGTTTTCTTTGTTGTTGTTCAGCCAATATTAGTGCTTGTATGATTTCGTCATCCATAATCGATATCTAAAAATTGAAAATACGCGAAAAAAACTGTTCAGGTACAAGTAACAAAGAATGAGAACTAACATATGTGCCAAGAAAAATAATTCTGGTCAATCAGCCTTTTCGATCTTCTGGTTTACAAATTTGCACGAGTGCAATTTTCAGAACCGCATCCGACCCGAAAATTTCTTTTTACCCATACCCGACCAGTACCCGAAAACACATATCATTTTTTTCCTTGTCTTTGTCCTTCCTTGGAGTACACTATAATCTCGAAAATTATTTATAGAAAATCGCCGTTGATTTTGAGAAAGTCCATATATGAAATCGCCTAGGATTTTCTATTTTACAGAAAATCGTGTCCCCAAGAATCTAGAAAATCAAGGGGGATTTTCTAGATTCTTGAAAATCGACATTGATTTTCTATAAATAATTTCCACGATGAACTGTGGTCAAGAAGGAAAAAAACTCGAAGTTATTCTAAGTGTGAAAATATTTGTACTTATATTTACCCAAGAATGTAAAACAGAACGGTGATTCAAGATGAATCGTGGAAATTATTTATAGAAAATCAATTGATTTTCTAAAAACTTTTTAAAAAAAAAGATTCTAGAAAATCAAATTTATAGAAAATCGACTCGATTTTCAAGAATCTTGAAAATCAACATTTTCTATACAGTTGGAAAATCGGTGAGGATTTTCTATAAATTTGAAAATCCTCAGGGATTTTATAGTCGATTTTCTATAAAATTGAAAATACTTCAAGATTATAGTGTACTTATTCTTACGAGGGAACCTATGAAGATGAAGCACTCCGATTTCGTTCGTTCTTGCGTGGATCGATAGGGTATGTGGAGTGAGTAAAAAGCCTAAGAGGGTTCAAAGTTTTTTTGAGAATAAATTAGTCTTATCTTTTGATCAATATGAATGTTCATCAACA